TGTTCCACCTTGTTAGAAATTCATCGCTTTACCTTCCAATGCAAAGTGCATAGCCACCTAGAGAAGATGCTTGATGGCCAACTGTGTTTGCATGGGGGGGAGAAAGGGGAAGAGATTAGTAGTGGCTGATCCTCACCTCAGGGGTGGTAAAGTGGAAGGGAGAGGGATTAGCAACACTGATCACAGTAGTAATAATAATAATAATAATCTTTATATTTGATATAGCACCTTGTCACATCATTGAGATGTCAAAACACTTCACAGGATTTTACTGCGAAGTGTAGTGATTGTGCATTTGAAGGTGAATTTGGCAGCCAATTAGCACACAAACAATCAGGAAGTGAATGACCCATTTGATCAGCCACGACATTGGAAGAATTCCCTTCTCTTTTCAAACTTCTCTTTTCAAATATTGCCATCGGATTTTTAATAGACTGGACCTTGGTTTAACATCTCATCCCAAAGGACGCCACCTCCACAATGTAATGTACCACAAGCATTGCGTGTCAGCTTAAACATTCAGTTGAAAGTCCTGACATGAGGTTTGACTCGGAGGCAAGAGGGCCACCGACTGAGCCAGGCTGACACCATGAAGGAAGGAGCTGCTATTAGGAAGTAACAGTAATGAGTGGGAGGATTGTCGGATTGGGTGGGAAGCTGCTCCAGTTGAGCCTAATTTACAATCGACTGGTTTACGTGGTTTGTTCACACTTTCCAATGCATTGGGTTGCCCCAGTTCCCAGTGCACATTCCAGGACTATCAGCGGTCTCACAAAGGCTAGAAGTTTGGAAAACTCTGCAAAGATTTTTAATTTTCCTTTTTCATGACTAACTTACGAATTGTGCAGTAAAGAGGATGCTGACAAATGACTAATTTTGAAGTGATATCTGATATCTCGTGGCAATAAAATAATTGCAGTTAATGGAAGCAGTGTGAGATGCAGTGGGTTAGCATGCTGTCCTTTCACCATGTAAATGTAAAGCTCATGGAAATTGAATGAAGGACAGTTGTCTGCCACCCAAATCGTCACATAAAATACTCTAGACAGAGGGTTTTTGTTTCAATGTCCTGGATCATTGAATTGTGCATGGGGGGGGGAATACGATTTGAGTCAGACGTTTCCCCCACACAGTGAATCCCACATCACAGCTGAACCCTGGGGAGAGGGAGGAAAAATAGGAGCACAGAGTCCAATTACATTGCTCACTCCCTTTTTGACTTGTTCCAGCGCAATGTTGGCAGGACCTCAGAAATAAGACCTCCTGGAGTTTGGTTTATGGGATAGAGGTCCTAAAACAAGCAAAAAATAAACATGGGAGCCAAAAATGTGTGAGGGAGGGTGGGAAATGACCAGTGTTAACCTTCCCATTGAAACATCTGTGACTTGAGGCTTGAGGGGTGTCAAACCGCTTGTGGATTCCTGTGTGCACAAACACATTATTCCATCAGTGGAGTATTACGTTTGAACTGGGTTTGAGTGGTGCATCGAGTCCCTTGTTATGAATCCTGCACTGTACTGCAGGTTGGATGCTTTTAATGGTGATGTTATCCTGCAATTCCAAAGAAGGATTGTAAATTTGTGTGTGTTAAACCATCACTCACACAATGAGCAAGAACGTCTGCAAAGGAACCAATTCTTAAGACCATCCAAGCATCTCCCTGTAACCCAGGAAATCAGGCTGTGTACGTCTGACCATATCTGATTTACACAATGGATTTCAAAATACATTCAAATAGGAAAAATGCTTAAAATGGGAAAACTCAGTGTAAATAACACTAACAACAACTTGCATTTATATAGTGCCTTTTATAGAAAGAGAAAAGCCAGAGAATAATAATGATCCAGGAATAAGCAAAGTAATTGAGTTAGGAATGGGGAGCAGAGGGAATGGGGGTTTAGCACTTGTGTTTTCGGTGATTTCCATGAGGCTTTTATTGCTGCTCCTGCAAACATTCACATAAAGAATTACAATGAGCCGAGCATTGTGCTTTTCCACACCTGATATGAAGTGTCTTCAAGTTACGTAATAATTCACCGTGGAGTCATTCAGTCACAGGGCTGCAGAATGTTTCTATAACTACACTAAGCTCCACATGGTGTTTTCACAGTTCTGAGTGCTCTGTGCTGATGTTACTGAATCCAGATTCCACAGGCTTTAAAGCAGGTGCAGGCGTGAGTTACAATTCACCTCAATACTTTCCTTCGAGCGTTGAGTGTGAAATTTCACCCACAACAAACAAGGCTCATTTGGGCGTCAGCCTGGCTCAGTCGGTACCACTCTTGCTCTGAGTCGAAGGTTGTGGGTTTAAGCCCCATTTTAGGACTATAGTCTATGCTCACAAGTCTAGACTGACATACACCAATGCAATGCTGCATTGTCAGAGGTCCAAGGTCCTGTCTGCCTGTTCAAGTAGATAAAAAGATCCTGTGGCACTATTTGAAAGGAGAAGGGAGTTTCTCCTATTCCCCTCCAACAAACTGTAAATAATTGGTCATTTACCTTAAGGTTGTTTGTGGGACGTTGCTTTGTGCAAATTGGCCCACGTGTTTGCCTGCAAAACACACAGTATCTACACTTTACAGAAATCCTATAAAATGCTTTGTGACGTCCTCCCAACATGAAATATGTATCAAATGCAAGGAATATTATTAATAATGTTATTCTTGTAGGAAACTTCAGTCAACTTCAAAAGGAAAACAAATGCAAAAGTGGAAGCAGGCAGGAACCATACATTTTGTTAGAGCACCAAGTTGAGCAAGTGAATGTGAACACTTTAATTGTATTGTTCTCTGACGAAGCCTATTTTACACCTCACCTACAGACCATAACAACAACAAAATTACATTTGGAAAACGCCTTTCACATCGGGTGGATGTCCCAAGGCGCTGAATAGTCAGGGATCAGGACCCGAGCATGGGGTGGGGCAGGGTTGGGATGAGGGAGAGCAGAGGGGATAGGAGGGCAGCTGAAGGCAGGGTCAAAAAGGAGGGTTTTGAGTCGTGCCTTGAAGGAGGCAAGAGAAGGAGAAAAGCAAAGAGTTCCAAAGAGTCGGGGAGAGAGGCTGAAAGCCTGGCCATTGATGGTCGTGTCGGTCGGGCGGGAGACCCTTTGCAAGCGGTCAGATCCTGCTGAGCGGAGGGAGTGGACAGGTTGATAGGGGGGGTCAGCAGGTCAGAGATGTAGGAGGGTGCAAGGCCATGAAGGGCCTTGAAAGTGAGGATGAAGATTTTGAATTCTATCCTCCTGAGTGATTGGGAACAGTGGAGTCGGGCGAGGGTGGGGATGATGGGGTCACGGAGCCTGGTGCGGGAGAGGACACGAGCTGCAGAGTTCTGGATGATCTGCAGCTTGTGGAGGGACGAGTTGGGGAGGCTGTCAAGGAGTGAGTTTCCATAGTAGAGAATGCGTGTATGAAGGTTTTGCCGGCCTGAGGGGCGAGGCAGTAGCGGAGTCGGGCAATGTTGCAGAGGTGGGGGAAGGCAGAGCGGGTCATGGTACGGATATGGGGGAGAAAGGACAGTTAAGAGTTGAACAAGACGCCCAGGTATCTGACTGGCTTGGGGAGGTGGAGTGTGCAACCATTGATGTTGCCAGTGCCTGAGGTGTGGAGGCGCTGGCGTGAGACACTCGGGAGGGCCTCGGTCTTGCTGACATTGAACTGTAGAAAGTTGGCTCTTATCCAGGACTTGATGTCTGGCAGACAATCTGTCAAAATGTCGGTTATCCTGGATTCGAGGGTGGAGGCAGAGAGATCAAGTTGGTTGTCATCTGCGTATTGCCTTGGGGTGACTGTGTCACTAATGACCCTTGTATTTGTTGCATTTTATCACATCAAAACTTCTCAAAAACTCTCTGCAGGTAATTCCTGTCAAATGTAGTGGTTGGTTTTTGTAGGCAAACTTGGGTACAGCAATGTCTCACAAACAGCCAGCACCTTGGGAAGTCCTCCCGACGTGAAAGGCCAGTACAAATGTAATTTGTTGTTGTTGTTGTGAAAGACCTATTTCTGTGGAATCATTGTCCACCGCACTGGAAGCAATTCGCTTTTTTCAAATTTTATGCCACCAGATCTAGGTGGGAAGACAAGAGATAAAGACCTCCTTCCTACAACTGGACCTTCCCCCTCCCCAATGCATCATCATTATCATTAGGTCCCAACTCCTCCCTGGGTGGTAATGGTGGTGCAAGGTTATCTGAACACCCACATAAACCACACAGCACACAAATCCTATACAAATCCAACACCTCCAAACTAACACTTAAAAATACATTTTTCTCTGCTGACTCTGCAAAGCTATTTGTTGAACTCTTGTCAGTGTGCGGGCAGTAGTTTACAGAATGGGAGCTGCAAATCTAGTCCACACATCTATTGCAAGACTGCAGTGAATCCATGTGCTTGGGGTGTGTCCTTGTGCAGCACGAGTATGAGCATTCAGTAATCCAAGCTAGTTTTGTAGGTATCTATGAACACCAGAGACATTGGATACTGTTGGTTCATTCGAGACGTGTTACTCACTATAAAGCAAGCATGTGAATGACCAGTTCCTGTGAGTCCTTTACATTTTTGATTCTGGCTTCTTAAACATTAACTTAAACCATTCCAAAAATATCTTTATATTGCACTCTCGAATGCACCCTGGATTATCTCGGACCTTGGGACGTCCTCTCAACGCAAAAGGCACCATATAAATGTAAATCTGGAGAGTATTGGTAAATTTTACCATTGTGATTCCATGACTTACACGTGAGAGCAGCCACATAGAGTTCCGTAGTGATATGACTTAGAAACAGGCCATTGGCCTAACCTGGTCTGTGCCAATGTTTATTCTGCTCACAAGTCCACACCTATTCTATTCACTAAGAGTGTGTCTCTTTAGTGAGGTGGCTATTTTTGCTGCTGCTGTTTTGTGTAATCCTAAAAAGGAAAATGTGAGCCTCTGAACGGAGAGATGGAAAACGATCAGTAAAAGAGCGTACATTGTGCACACTAATTACAGATTCTCAGGATCCTGGTGCGGGCAGCAGTGGAAGGTATCGCCGACTGTAGGGGAGACACAGCTACAGCCTTGAAGGGGAAGGTCCAGGAGCTCCTTGGGAGGGTCACTTCCAAAGTGCCCAATGATGGACAGATTTGGAAATTATATGCCAAACTCTACGGAGACGGACAGACAACAAACACGGAGGATAATGAGAAGGTTGGTACTCTTATGGGGCAAGCAGTAGTTATTGTTGTCAACGTTTGGCACTGAAGTAACTGATGTCTAACCATTTTTAAAAAAAAACAACCTAAAACCCTGCTCCTGGTATTGTACTATAAGGCAGTACAATGTCCAAGAGTATTGTCTGATGACTTCCTTTCAATCTCCCCTCCTCTATTCCTCCCATTGCTTTGATGAATATTGGGAGTTTGATGTATGATAAATCACCAGATCAGAACGCACTGTGCCACCTTCCCACTCCCAGGCCTTAATTTCCCCTAAATCAGACTTACTGATCTTTAGTGACTCCTACGTTGAATCAGTGCTGGTATGTGCAGCAACTTTCCAGAAAAGCATCCTTTTCCATGAGCAGTTTTCTGCTTAAGGAAAAAAAATTGTAATAAACAAAGAGAAATGGATGCTTAGATTCTGCATGAGAAAGCGGGCTTCTATATTGACCCGGTCTTGCTATCTGAGTGCATCAATCGCTGATAATAGACATATTGGTTAAGAAATCCCTTTTTCCACAAGGTGCAGTGACTTTGACAATGTGTGTCTTGAGTTGGATTTCCCCATTAAAAGCATGTGTGTCATTAAAGTCACTGCACTTGGTGCCAAGGGGAACTTTAGCCCTATTCACATCACTGCAACACACTGCAAAATAAATATTCATTGTTGGGTTGTCTTTTTGTTAAAGTCAAGCAGTGTTTTTTGCTCTGGGATGTGGACCGAATCTTCTGGCTTCATTGTGAAGTATTTTTTCCCTCCTCCTTCACTAGCACCTTACCTCCCCCATGTAAAGGCAAGATTCTGTGCAAACCCACTTCAACTAGAATTATCTCTACAGTGTCCAGAGCTCCCAGTGAAATTTGCTCCAGTTTAACAACTGTGGGTACACAATAGGTTTCCAAGTGTCAAATTTTCGCTCCTCACCTGATACTTGCAGATCTGTCCAGGCCAACAATGCAAGCAATATGTTGATGGGGCTGAATCAGCACAGCGTCAGGAACATCAGAGACAATGTTTATCTGTGGCTCCTGAGATGCAGGAAGAGTCAATGGTACCATCTCTTGTTACCTTGTACTATCACCTTCAAAAGCAGAGTTCCTGGGAGCAACATCGCCATAGGGTAAAAATACTAGGTTTGAGATGCTCTTATTCCTTCCCTCTTGTCCACAACAATTTTCTCTGGATAGGTTTATTACGATGTCAACTCATGTTAGAGTCAGTTGTCCTCAGGTACTTCATCCAGGAGCTGCTCGCTCTTAATAATAATAATCATAATCATAATAATAATTCTTGCATTTGGCGAGACCTCGGGTTAACATTTCACCCGAAGGATGGCACCTCTGACAGTGCAGCCACCTCCCACAGCACTGCATTGGAGTACCAGCTTAAACTTTAATTCCAAGACACTTGGGACTTGAACCCACAACCTTCTGACTCAGAGGTGAGTGTGCCATCACCCAGCCAAGCTAACACACAAGATGTGTAACTCGATGCCATTGGGCATCTCATGGGCCAATTGCTAAAATAGAGACTTTTTTTTAAAGCCCTGAACAGGCCTCAGTGAACTGGAGGCTGGCCATGCAAGTGGGAAGCCAAGCCTGGCCCTGCCGTCTTGTGATGTCTGCACAGAGAAACAGCATGGGGTCAGTGGACAGTAACACTGGCTGATTTGATTTTTGAGGTCAGTGGTGGCACCCCTCTCCCCCCTCGCCAGCTGAGATCAGATGAGGCAGCACAGTCGGGGATTGAGATGCAAGGTTTTTATTTATCATGAAAGGGTAAAATATGCTGATCATTTCTGGCCAAGCCTTCTTCCAAAATTACATGACTTTGGTCCAGATTTCAGGCATCTGGTATGATCCTGTGATTTAATGACCATATAAGGTGCCAACTGCACGGTTTAATCCAAAAAGACAAGAGACATAAAATGGTACCTTTTTTTCCTGTCACCAGAGAGTTTTCCGCCTCTGGCAGTCTCCAAGCCTGTGTGTTGCAGGTCAGTGAGTGTAATGTGCTGCTTATTATGACTTGTGCCAGCATCACTGCAGAGATATTGTTGAGGTGCTGCGTTGTGGGAGGAATATCTGTACCAAAGCTGTGTAGAAAGCCAAGCGATTTTGGGGAAATTTGCAATCACCTTCTGGATTTAACTTGTCAGGCTGCTTCAAATCTCACTGTTTGTGGGTTATGGCTGTGTAAATTGGTGCCACGTTCACCCACAGATTACATACAGTCACACCTCTTTACAGTATATATGTGTGTATATGGACTCTCGTCCAAGTGCCAGATGTGGAGCTCCTGCTGCAAACTCCCCTGGGCCAGTCTCTGAGGAGTTTGCGGAGCTGTGTAAAGGCCACTTGACCCAAGTGTCCACCGACACTAATCAAGTTCAGAAATCATCTACTTTCACTTTCCTATATTTCCATCTATTTGCTCTCCACTCCCTCCTCTCCTTTCCGGGTCCAGTCATCTTTAAATCAGTGACAAAGGAAAACCTTGTTGTAGTCTGTCTGGGATTTCTAATGCTAATCCTTTCTTTGGTCTTCACTCAAGGAGTGCGTTGTGGGTGGGTGTCTGCGCTGGCTTCGTAACTGCGTGCTTGGACTGAACCACGTGGATCTTCTCCAGCAGATCTTGGGGCACCATCCTGCGTGTGGGGCAGATGCACAAACAGGGCGTGTCGTGCTCCGAGGACATTTCACTATTTTAGGGGCACGGGAGGGAGGGGAATGCGAGCATCGCACATCCCAAGAGACGTTGCCTGAAAAGAACTGAGTGACTGACTGATTAAGAGAATAGGAACGCAACATTTCTTTTAAATTAAGAGTGAATTTGGAACTTTCAATTGGCTTGGGAGGGGTGGGGGGTAGCCTTGCACTTGCACGAGCTAGACCTCTCCTCAAGGCAAGATAAAGGAGTCTGTGGAGAAATGGGAGTCTCTGGGAGTAATTACAGGGCAGGACCTTACTGAGGGGTCTAGATGACATCATTCCTTGTGAGGCTGAGGCTGTAACAATTAATTGCCCAGCTTCTGAGCCCAAAGATTAGATCAGACTCTTTTTATTACTCCCAGATATTCAATCTCAATATGCTCATGTATTATACTCAACTTAACCCTCTCTAGAAATTGTTACTGAAATGTGCAGTTTCTGCCTGTATTTTTGTGTCTAGGGGGTAGGGTGGGGAGGTGTCTGTTTCAGGCCATTATCTTTGCATCAGTCAGTGATGACTGCTGCGTCTTCTGTGATTGAAGTGTGCTGGATAGTCACCTCGCTGCTCCACCTTTTTGTTTCTCCAGTTGGGTTTGGTAAAAGTGCAGGTAAATAGGACTGAGAGGATTTTCCTTAAAAGAGCCTGTGCTTGTGCGATATCGCATGTTAAAGCACAGTTTCACAGGTACTAATCTGGAGAGGGAACTCTGGCTGATTTTCTCTACCCACTCCATTACACAAAGATTGAGGCAAATTTTAGTATCCTGACTGATTAGATTTGGGTCAGACATGGATTTGAACTTGGGACCTTGCTGACTTCAGCTCCCATCATAGGAGGGTCTATCACCACATCTTTACTGCAATACTGTGCTCATTGTGTGTGAGTTATGATACAGATATATATTAAACAATATATATGTCAGAAGATACTGAAAATTTAAAGGAGCTAATTTGTCCTTGTGTCTTGTCCTCTGACAACAATGCAATTCTACATTTATTTGTTCTTTGCTGTTTAGTGCACTTGAATGCAAGGAGCACTAGATTCTCATTCTCACCTTCAAGTTCCTCCATGGTCTTGCCCTACCCTACCTCTACGACCTCCTCGAACCATACCAACCCAGCCTTCACTGAGCAGGTAGAGGTTGCTTTATATCTTCATCCCACCCCTAACCATCGGGGGTTGGGGTTTCAGCCTAATTGCTCCCACTCTCTGGAACTCCATCTCCAACTCGTCTCCTCCCTCACCTTTTTCAAGGTCCACCTCTTGCTCTGTGACTGCGTCTTCAGTCACCTTTCCTTTCCTTTTCCCCTGGCTCCCACACTCAGCTCGGGTGCTAAGCATCTTGGGTCATCCTCCTGATGTGAAAGGTGTTATATTATTGTAAATTTGTATTGTATTGTTAAGGAATGTACCAAAAGGCTCTGGTCTAGTGACTTTAATCCAGTGTAGCTTATAAACTGTATAGTGGTTTCATACAGAGGATTGCCTAGTCCTTGCACACAAGTGCATTCTACAATCGTGCCTTGATTCTAGACCAGCCTAAATTGGAAGAGAAGGGAGTTTCTCCCTGTATCCCGATCACCAATTCCCCAAATAAAGTTGAGCTGTTTGTGGGACATTGCTGCGTGCAAATTGGCTGCCTCATTTATTTACAAAATACACTGCAGTTTACAGTAAAGCCTGTGAAGCTCTTTGAAAATGCTAACATGAAAGGCAGTAAATCCATCCACTGAGCCATTGCATCCTGTTGTCTGGCTTGTTGCTGTGAATAGCAGATTTGGAAAATTGGAAATAAAAGGGAAAATGCAGAAGTACTATATGTTTGGTACACATTTGTAATTTCTTATCTCTTTTATTTGTAGGCGCTGCAGTTTCTAACTAAAGCTCATGGGTGTGAAACTAACTCAAGTGGATGGGAAAAAGATATTGCATCTTTCAAAGATGTAGCTAAATCAGCTATAGAGCTCGCACACGGTAAGTTGACAATAGTTCTGACGTATCTAATGGGTATTTTTAAATCACTCACACCCAGTGTCGATCCTCTGTTTCCTGTTGTCTTCTTTTGCCATTATTACCCATTAGAGCCAGGATGCAGGAGCAGGTGTGTTATGTTTTCCCCTAAGTTTAATGTTGATGTCGTCTTGTTGCAGTTTCATGTGAACTGCCCAGGCCAGGGATGTTACAAGAGCTGGGATTCACCTCTGGTTCTGTTCATTCTCTGTTGCCCAGTGAGGGAAAGCAAGAGAATCCTATCATGAGTTGTCAGGTGGATGTTGCTGTGAGACTATTAGAAAAGGAGAGAAGGGATCTTTCTCCCAGTATCCTAGCCAGAAATCCTCCAGATAAATTCATCATTCACCTAATTGTGGGACCATGCTGGTGCAAATGGCTGCTGCATTTGTCTGCAAAAGCAAAAAAAGTGTTGTAAAAATGCAAATTCAACACCAGCTATTGTTATTTTGTTTGCATGTCTCTTTGGAAAACTGAAGGTTGTTCAGGTATTCGTACTAAGTGCAGACAACCCTGTTATAACATGGCCGTCTGAGTCCAATATTTCTGATACTGTGTTAAAAGAGGGAGTGAAAAATAACCGACTTCTTGATTGTCAGGTTGCTGTCGATGTCACTTCCTACATGTTGCAGGCATGTGCTATGCATAAGAAACACAACTAACATCACTTTCTTTGTGAAAACGATGCTTCCTGCAAGTAGAAAGCGTGCACGGCGCGTAGGAAATTACACTAGTTGTTTTTCATGCATGTAGCACACATACAGCATGCAGGAAGTGATGTTCGTAACAACTTGGCAACCTGGAAGTCTGCCATTTCTTTGACTGGGTAGCCACATTGCCTGCCGGTAATCAAAGATCTACTTGGTACCTATGTTAAAAGCAAACCCAAACTGTAGGGATGCACTTGATAATAGGTCGCCCTGAACGGTCCAGAAAGGGTTTTCTCTGCAATTTTAAAGAGCACTGTGAAACCAAACAGGGTAACTACTGAACCAAAGCACCTTTGTTGATTTAAATTCTTGGAATAAACTGGGAAAAAAGCAATGTTATTAACCTCGTTTCACAGTTAATGCCGAAATGCAGTATTACACACATCAAAGGGTTATAATAACCATGGATATTCTTGAGGAGTCATCTGGATTTAATTTTCAGGACTTCTTTTTAATAACCTGTTTCATAGTAATTTTAGCTTGTATCACTGCAAACTACAGCTTTAATGCTGGAGAATTTTGCAAATTCTTTGCTTAATGTTGGCAGTGATGTGCACTGAATTCCAGGATGAAAGGAGGCCATAGTGAAACATAGTGTTAGTGGGATGGGGAAAGGGGGCAGTTGTTGCAAGCATTTTTTATTCATAAACAACAACTTGCATTTGTAGAGCTCGCTCCTCACCAGGTTAGTGTCCCAGGGCACTTAACGCTTAATAAAGTCAACAAGTGAAGATTTAAGAGGAGAATCAGCAGAAATAATGCCAGCAATAAAGATTCAGCATCTGGATGACTGAGCTCAATGCTTGGGATGTTGATCAAATTCTGAGGAAAGGATCCTGTTTAAAATAATACTACTACTTGCACTTGATACAGTGCCTTTCGTGTGAAGTCGTCTCAATGCACTTCATAAGATGTGCCACAAAGTGTATTGACTTTGTTGTTTTGTAGGCAAATATAGCAGCCAAGTTGCACTCAGCAATGCCCCACAAACAGCCGTTTGAGGGATTGCTGGCCAGGATGTCAGTCTATCTTTCTCTTTCAGTTCTGGGCATGTCCAACATGCACTGGTTTTATTTCAGATTTCTACTTAAGTTTTTACTGTGCAAAGGGGTATCATATATGAAGTTGTGTATTAATAATTTCTGGCATATATTTTATTTCTAGTGTCAATCAAGTGCAGCAAAGCTCAAAGTAACCCTCAGGTGGCACTCCAGATGCTGTCTTCAGCTCGTCTCAAGCTGCGTGGTCTGTCCAGTAAAGCACAGGTAGGACATAAAGTGTTACAGTACAGAAACAGACCATTCGGCCCAGTAAGTCTCCACTGGTGTTTGTCTCCATGCCAATATAATCACATTCAAAAGGCTAGAGTTAGAAAAACTCCAATAGGCACACATAAGTGCTTTGTTGTTTTTCTTAACTACAAGGTTTCCTTTGCCTTTGAGAATACACAGGAAAATTACTGGGAATCAGTGAGAAAATGACACAAATTTGTCAGAACATAGACCAAATTCAGTGAGTAATTGCTGAACTGCTGAATTCCCGACAACTGGAACCACTTTTACAGGGCTTGTGAAGAGGCCAGCTACTCATTCATATTTATGTGTGTCATTAGATCCCTCACTCTCGAACACTGAAGAAAATAGTCACATGGAAACAATGCTGCCGTTTCAAACGCAAAGATGACTATTATTATAATCCAAGAAATTGATCTTCCCTTCTGTTAGTGTGTTTCATTTTTCACAAGATCACAAGAGAGGTTCAAATAAAGAAAACCTCCAGCCCATTTGATCTCATTGTTCCACAATATCCACCCTATCATCTTCCCATTACAGAATTAAGCTTTTGCTTCAATGGGTCAGGGTCCTGGCCACTGCTACACTTACTGGTGACCTGTTAATCCAACTCAAATGACTAGGTTACACAGTGACAGTTTCAGACAAAGGTACACAATGGATGCATCAGTCTCTTCATTCAATTTCTTGCCACTACTTTTATTGTGTGTTAATCAATGTTTGGTACATATTGCTGGTCTCACTAATGAATATTAACTGTATAGAGAGTCCGTGAGAGCTTGTGAGCTCTGACAGGGGGAAAGAAAACTGCTTGAGGGCTTGAGTTGCCTCTACAGAATTCAGCAAAGAAAATCCCTATTGAGTTTATTGAAGTGCTTGTCACGCCACACCCAGCTCAGCTTCAAGGACCACTCACCAACACATTTACAAGTTAATTCTTTTGAAATACACTGACAGTACTTATAGCCCCAATAATCTGAGTCCTGCTTGAACTCAAAAGCTATGATCTGCTGTCAACTGGGGACCTCGATATGAGATTCTACAAGTACTGAGTGGAGCAAGGGAACACGTTTTCAGGCTCTGCTAATGTACCCCTCTATGGGCACTTAACATGTTTCGTTTTATTACATCTTCAGCAGAAATTGTAAGTATCAGATTTAAACTATGTGGTTGAACATAGTTTTGGAAACTTCAGCATGGATGTAGATACTAAAAAGGCTCGTTAAAACATGTCAGTGCCAATTTAGAATAGAAGTTGTACATTATGATATTATCTCTAGTAGACTTCAGAGCTTTACACAGATGCCATGTGCAGTAGATAGTGATCTAAACTAATCCACTTTGGGGAAGTAGTGTTGCGTTTGCATGTTTTTGTTCCTGTGATGGCCACAGTGTAAGTACAGCTGGCACAATGGCTGTGCATACATGGCGTTCAGGGCAGTTGACTTGCAGTGGAAGTTGCAGACAGAGTAGGCAGTGGGTGATGCTGCATATCTGCACAAGCTGTCTGGCAAACCCACTGGTACCACTGCACAGTCGTTGTAACTTGGAGTTTCTTTGTGCACAGCTTTGCAACCAGCTACTTCCTTTGAACATTGCTTTAAAGTACAACATAAATAAGAACTATGCATTTAGAGATGCAAGACCTGACATTCCAACTAGTCTTAGCCTGCAAGACCATTTAAAATTCTTAAATTTAGCTCTAATTTGGAAGATGGTTCTTTCCAAGCACTCCAGAAAATCCGCTTCTAGATTTCAACCAAATTTAATTATGTTCCATGTTTCTAGATGATTTTAAACTTTAAGACAAAATGATCTTACAGGCTTTAGAGAGCAAGTGGAATTTCGGATCTCTACTGGATTCACTTAGAAGTATGACTTCTGTATTTCAAAGTTTATTTCTCCCTGGTCAACTGTACTATTTTCTCTTTCACCTCTTAATAATCAATAACACTTCCTGCCCCTTTCACTTTGGGAGGATGCTTAATAGGATTTTATTATAAAGCATAGTGATTGCTTTATATCTCTCTGAAACATCTAACATATTCCCCCTGCTGGGTCAATCCACATCTTCTTGCTCCCAGTGGGGAAGGACCTACTCATTGCCATGCATGTCCACAAATTGAGATTGGAAAATTACAACATTGATAGCCATGGATCCACATCCATGTTTTACCACCATACCATTGTACATTAGGGCACGCATATAAATACTGATCTCATCACTTAAACATTTGTTTCAGGTTAAATCAGAAGGACAACTTGCCCAGTATAAATAGTTTGACTTCATCCTCTCCTCAGGTCACAAGAGATTAGCTAGGATGATTTCACTCTACAAAAATACCAGTGTTAAGCTGTTTCTTAATTGACCTCAAACACACTTCCTGGTAACCCGGTTCAGCTGTTAATTACCTTCTGTGTAAATAAATACTTCCTGGTACCTTGTCCTAACTTGCCCTGCACAACCCTAACTTATCCTCGACTTGCCTCAATCCTCAGCCACCTTATGTCACTGCAGCCTTGAGATTTGACCATTGCGCAGTTCAGCATGATTTCTGAGGATTTGAACCCAGTGTATTTGGCAGTTAGCTCCAACATCCTGCTCACTTTATTTAGTGTCACCTCACACTGTTTGGATAGTTGAGCGATATAGACATTACTTTGTAGGATATATTGTCAAGCAACAGCAGTGACTGTGTTTTGCTGGCTAATGTGGCTGCCGATTTGCGCACAGCAATGTCCCTTAAACAACTATGAAGAAAAGTGAGTTTCCCTGTGTCCTGGCACTAATTTTATTTGAGACGAGGACACAGGGAAGAAATTCTCCTTTCTTTCCAAATAGTGCCATGGGATTGTGAATGTCCACCTAAACATGCAAACTGGACCTCGGTTTAACATCTCATCTGAAGGATGGCACCTCCAATAATGCAGCATCCCCAGCACTGTTCAGGAATGTCAGCCTGCCTGGACTATGAGTTTGAAGTCTTAATGTGGGGCTTGAACTCACAGCTTTGTGACTCAGAGGCGAGAGTGCTATCAGCTGAGCCAGGCTGACACCTAACCGAATTAAACTCCACGGGCTGTTTCAGCATTTCCCTTTGCGCTTTTTGTCCCATCAGTGGTGTACACGTGGCTCCGATTTTTGCTTCCAACAAGCAGTACCTTGTATTTGCCCGAATTGAGCTGCATGTATCAATGATAAGTCGAGGTCCTGAAAATTCCTTGTTCCTATATTGTCTGTGACCAGGTCAGTTTAATGTAAAACTTCATTTTGAGTGTGACCTTACTGAACTTGGAAGAAAGTGACTATCCGCAGCTGCTACTGATGGGGTTTAGTAAAGAATCGCGTGGTATAAAAATGATAAAAACTACTCCACCGCTTGTCCTCCCACCTCAACCTTCAAGGCACTGTCCTTGAATGGTTTAGGTCGTACCTTTCTCACTGTCTTCACTTTGTCTCGACGAATGGCTTCTCCTCCACCCCCCGTACTGTCTCATGTGGTGTCCCTCAGGGCTCTGTCCTCGGTCCCCTCCTCTTCACCCTCTATATGCTCCCCCTCGGTGACATCATCCGCAGACATGGAGTTAACTTCCACATGTATGCGGATGACACCCAACTCTACCTTTCCTCCTCTACTCTCAACTCCACGACCACCGATGTCCTGACAGCCTGCCTGTCCGACATCGAGTCCTGGACGAGAGACAACTTTCTTCAGCTCAACGTGCGAAAAACCGAGGCCCTCCTGATTGGCTCACGTCAGCGCCTCCGCACCTCAGGCGCTGACACCATCAGCATCCAAGGCTGCACTCTCCACCTCTCAAAGCCAGTCAGGAACCTCGGCGTTTTGTTCGACCCTGAGCTGTCCTTTCTCCCTCACATCCGCACCACAACTGGCACCGCCTTCCATCACCTCCGGAACATCGCCAGACTACGGCACTACCTCACCCCTCACGCTGCTGAAACCCTGGTCCACGCCTTTGTCACCTCAAGGCTGGACTATGGGAACTCTCTCCTCGCCGGCCTTCCCGCCACCTCCCTCCACAAGCTGCAGGTCATTCAGAACTCTGCAGCTCGTGTACTGTCCCGCACCAGGCTTCGGGACCACATCACTCCCACCCTCGCTCGCCTCCACTGGCTCCCCATCCCCCAGAGGATTGATTTCAAGATCCTCATCCTCACCTACAAGGCCATTCACGGCCTTGCTCCCTCCTACCTCTCCAACCTTCTATCCCCCTACCTACCTGCCCGTACCCTCCGTTCCTCTGGCTCCGGTCTGCTCCACGTCCCCCGCCCCAACCGCCCTACCATCGGTGGTCGGGCCTTCAGCCTCTCAGCCCCCAGTGCCTTCGCCGCTTCCTCCCTTTCCTCCTTCAAGGCCGGTCTCAAAACCTTTCTCTTTGACCGTGCCTTCAGCTCCCTTCTCGACTCTCTTCCCCCTCCTCGCTCCCTCCCTTCCCTCCCCTCACCCTGACCATTTCCCCCCTGCTCGGGTCATGACCCAACTGTGCAGCGCCTTGGGACGTCCTCCTGACGTGAAAGGCGCTTTATAAATGGAATCTTGTTGTTGTTGTTGATGTGTTTTTGATGGAATAATTTCTAATCCCCAGCAATAGTTTGAAATTTTAGCTTGAAGGGAAATGGAACTCTTTCCCATTTATGGAACAATTCAACAATTCTAAAACTAAGGATGGATTTTTAAGCTTGATCTTTGCCCAATGCAAATGATTGGAGTACCAAAGTCCGGTTCTTTTAATTTGAAAAACAGTGTACTCCCGCAGGAGAAACTACAAAAAATCCCTACATTACAGAGTTAACTCTCCCTTATGTACTCGTGCCAAGCGTCAGTTTGAAGTGCTCAAACTTTACAGACAGATGATGAGAGATGCGTTTCAGAATCGCAATAGTGGAGCAGCAGTAGACAATGGGTAACTTATTTCTGCTGCACTCACAAGGGAGTTATCAGATAGAGTGCGTCACACTGCTTGAATATTCTCACACACAAAATGAATTTCTAGAAATAATAGACAGGCAGTTGAGGCTTCAAGGTAATTTCTGTAGGATCCAATTCTACTCAAAGGAAGGTCAGACATAGTGATTTCATCTTTTATAATACCTCATTGCCTGAGGTTGCAACGGATTTGGGTTTGGTTGATGAGTAGCAGCTCGTCTGCTTTCTGGAAATGGAACGTACATTTGACAGCAGACCATGAAGGACATAAGATGCAGAAAGATGACTCCTACCCAGCCATGGGACCTCTTAGACCTGAGATCCTTACATGAATTTCAATTTCTGGGATTCTATTATTGTTAACTATATAATAATTATCCTTGCATTTGATGTAGCCCTTCACAGAGCTTTTTCCTGTGATGTGCAGTCACTGTGTATTAGCATTTGTAGGCAAACAATGCGGAAACCTGAGGTGGCCCACCAGCTCTCTGTGCAACTGGAGTATGTGTTGTGTGTGTTTCACCCAATGAGTGGGTCACAAATGAGATCAGCATTGATCATTTTCAGATGTATCAGCTGTCTATCAAGTTTACTTCCTTACTTATAGCCTGGCTATGTGCTGATGAGGAATGTGATGTTTTCATTATTGGTAAAACATGTGCCCCATTTATATTTCATTTTTAGTGTTGAGTCAACACAATTTTCAGACCAAATTCATATGCAGTGTGTAAGTACAGACTTGGTTCCTGGTGTGAAAATTCAGTTATCGGTCCCTTCCCAGAAACAACTTTTATTGGTTCATGAAAATATTGTTTAAAAGCTTTTTGTAGTTTGAGTCTAATTTCCAGTATTTCCTAATAAAATTATTTCTTAAGGAATCAAGCAATCTTAACAAGAAATCCCATTTGTGTCAAAACGGAGTTTCCCCTGGTGGTTAATGGAAAGAATCACTCTTATTTGGCTTCCGCGTTCACTTATACAGTCACACAATCACCACACTTCACAGTATATCCTGTGAAGCGTTTTGAGATGTCCTTCCTACATGAAAGCATTACATCAAATGCAAGAGTTATTATTATTTTTGAAACTTGGATAATAATATAATAATCCTTGCAATTTGATATAGCACCTTTCACCTAGGGATTTTACAGTAAAGTATAGTGACTGCATTTTATAGGCGAACACTTTATCAAGTCCTTCCTCTCTGACTACTCTTTCAGTCATCTTTCCAAATCCCCCCGCCCACTGGACTGTCCAGTGCCTTCAGACATCCTCCCGACAGGAAGGGTGCTATGTAAATGTAAATTTCTTATTGTTATTGTAATCCCATTAAGAAATCCCATATGTTGCACCCTACGAAGGTTTGTTTCCGCTCCCAACACTTCAAATTATAATTTAATGGTTGATCAGTACCATCACCAGGGGATGAAGGGCTACAATTATGAGGAGAGATTGGAGAAGATGGGCCTATTTTCCTAGGAGCAGAGACGGTTGAGGGAAGACCTGATTGACATATACAAAATTATGTGTTTCTCTTTAGGGCAAATAGAAGTTATGTCCATTGAATAGGGGAATCAGTAACTAGGGGACATGTGTAAGATAGCCACAAGAAGAGTGAAAGGAGAATTCACAAGGAATTTGTTCACCCAAAGAGTGCTTGGGATGTGGAATGCACTTTCGAGTAGGGTGTGGAGGTGGGGTCCATTGTAGCCTTTAAGAGGGAAGTAGACAGGCTGGGGAAAGATAGACAGGTCTGATGTGCCGAATGGCCTCCTTCTGCACTGTAGATTTCTATGTTTCTAGGCTAGCTGAGCTGTGTTGCATGCACTGAGCTCTTAGCAAGTGACATTTTAGACCAAATGTATATATGCAAAGAACATCAATGCTGTAATAGTCTTAAGCGCTCGCTGAAGGTGCGCTGTGTGAAGGGTGCTGGATAAATGCAAGTTGTTGTTGCTGTTATTTCTAATTTTAACCAAGCAAAAGAAATGGGAATGGTAGTTTGAAGATCCTGAATTTGAAAGAACTGAGGAATGAATGCAAGTAGAGGGTAACATGAAAGCAACAAGTGAATATTTAACTCTTTTCATTTGAATCTCTCAACTATTACAGCAAGTTTACACGGACGTAACTACTGGCGAAATACAGAGTGAACTGGCCGACGAAAAAAAGACTGTGGACAACATGATTCTGGAGCTTCAAGAGCTGAGCAACCAGTTGCGAAATCAATCATGAGGAGGTGGAAAACATGAATCTCGGATCCCCATGGGGAAACACCAGGAACTCATTTACGTTCGCCATAGAACTGCGATGAAATGGTGCAGCAGACGTGCCAGAGGATTGTATATTTGAACTGCCTCAATAATCTGCATAATAAAATGGTTCCTTTCTACCCTGATAATCAGTGAGTTTTTGGCTGCTTGGCTTCATCCTTGCAACTGGGTGTATCTGGTCTCTCGTCTGTTTCATGAATTGGAAAACTCTGAATTAACATTGTTACCCACTCAATGTTTGACCTGATGGTCTGGTTTGCAAGCTCTGGAAGATGTTTTAAGACTTGGAGTCCAACTAGTAAAGTGTGTAATGCACCTAACAGCACTGCCTGCCTTCTTTTTTCCTTCCTAGTCCTCATTGAGGCTTGTTTTGTAGTTTTCTCCTCCATTTTTTTCCCCTGCTTTCTGCAAGGCTATAGTTACACACTTTCGCTGAGATATATGGCCTTTGGTCACTCAGCTTAAGTGACCATTCTTCACGTTGTACCTCTGTATGTAGAAATCGTCAGTACTGGCAGAGGTTCTTCAGCACTTGAGAAGGAAGATTTTCAGATGAGGTTTATCCTGGTCTCACATGTTGCCCTAACACACAGCAGAGGTCAGGTGTGAGAAACTTGGACAGTTTTTTTCCCATCCCTAGTCAAGTGATACTGAGGCCATTTGTAACCCTCAACTGCTGCCCTGGCATAGCACTTTATCCAAGTTTTTTTGTCCACATTCCTCTCCTGCCTTCACCAAAGTTGCAGGAGAAAACTCAACACGTGCCAAAAGCAATCTAAACAGAGACAGTAAGTTGGAATTACACAATAGCAGATGCTGTGAAAATAAACAGGAATGCAAGGGAATACCATAGTTGCTCATCTTTCACTGTGGCATCGACCCTGAGGTATAATTTGAGGTACTCCTTAAAGGGATTCCTTACGAAGGAGTCTCATTACAAAATGCTGCAAATTAGACCACAGGGTCAGGCACTAGCTTGTGTTCTCTGGGGACCTGCCAAATTGACACGTGAACCATGTCTGTTCTGTTCAGGGAAAACACATTTTCTTATTGATTTCTTGCAATTGGCTTCCATGGTAGCCACATAGCAGGCTCCTGGGAAGAGATCAACAACAACAACTTGCATTTATATAGCGCCCCTCATCCCAGATCAATTGAGGGAAACATTTTCCTAAAACAAAATACAACCAGATGCCTCTGCAGTGCAACCTCCAGCAAGCACCCTCACCAGTCACAGGATAGGGAGGGAAGCCTCTGTGATGCAAGACACCATCTTATAGGACAAGTTATTAATAATAATCCTTCCATTTGATAATATCGCCTGATCGCATCATTGAGATGTCTCAAAGCTTTTCACAGAATATCCTGTAAAGCAAATTGACTATTTCGTAGGTGAAACGTGGCAGCCAATTACGCACAGCAGTGTCCCACAAACAGTTGTAGATTGAATGACCAAATTGTTTTTTTTGGAGGGATTATTCCCCCAGAAAGCGATCTGCCAATTGACTAACAACCAGGTTCCTACTTACTGCTGGGTAAACAGGCGTGTGGAGTACGGAAACTTGCCTGAAGTTAATTGAAGTAAATTTCTAGAATGCAACTAGTTACATGCTAAGCAGAGTGACAAGTAACGCAGAATCCCTTATTAATATTTTGCATGGGAAGCGGCTGGGATCTGTATGGAACCTCAGATGGGATCGGGGAGAGAACACATGATGATCACAGTGCTTGTTCATTATGATGCTAGTCTGTACGGCAAGAACAGTGCGTTTCAGTAACACTTTGACATTGGCAACACAAAGCTTATACAGCATTTAGATACTTTAAAGAGAGATGGATAGTTATTTAGGAAGTAAGAGTATTAAGAGATATAGAGAAAAGACAAGGAAATGGGACTAAAAGATTTGTCATGATCTAACCCTAATAAAATGGTAGAGCAGGCTCAACAGGCTGAATGACTGACTCCTCCTGCTCTTATGTTTGTAGACAACAGGGATATGTGATTAGAGAGTACCAGTGGGGAATCTAGTGCACCACAAGCACGGGAGGAAGAAAATTCTGTTTGATTAAATCGGTCATGTTAATGGGGGCTTATGTTCTACTGAATTGTGGCATTTTCACGACTGAAGCACAAGCACACCCCCAGAGGAAGGGAAGGAAGATGGAATGTCAATCATTGTGGGCCACCCATTGCAACTTGCTATTGGAGTCCTCATCATCTAGCAAAGCAGGGTGGGGTGGAGGAGAGACCTGAGGGCAATAATAACTTCCAAAGATTTACAAACATCTTTGCAAAAAATTGGTAAAAGAAGAAAGATGCTCCTGAAACTTGGAAAATACAGATAACTGAGTACTAATTCATAACAGGGCTTGAGTTAATAATTTGAGCCCCAAATAGCCTCATTATCCTTCTGGTGGGGGAGATGGGGTAAGCGAGGTCTCATTGGAGCTGAACTGACTAGAATACACTAGAATACAGCAATGCAACTTTGAGCCCCTTTATAGATTATTAGCATTTGGGTTTTAGCCTGATTTGGGCTTTAGTAATAAAATAATACTGTGATATCCATAGGGTTTTCGATCCCAGGCTTGTCACCTGCCCAATGCTTTCTTTTCCAGACCACTGCTTATTTTACTACACCCATAAGTGAATACACAGCAAGCTACCCTATGGAAATGACGAAATTGCTGTGATATTTTCCTGAATAGTAAAGAAACCCGGTCTGTTAAGTGTGTCCTGAACACTTAATCATTTTTTGTAGTTTGCACATGGAATTTCGATTTATGGAAACAAGGGGCAGAGGCTTTGGAATTGGACAGATGACAAGAAGCATGAGAAACCCTGTGGATTCAGCATCTTACAGATTTCCTTCCCAGGTCTGTTTTGAGCATGTATTTCCTGTAAATTACAGGGTTACCTATGCAGGCTGGTGCTCTATTCTATGAACAGATGCTGATGCCTTGGAATTAAGCTACCCACTAGTTGTTGGAACTCCAATGTAGGGGTATTTCCTTCAAAACTCTTGTCACTTATATTGGGTTTGTGGAGGAAAATGATCATATCCTCTCAAGCTGGTCTGATAGTCTATCAGCTGCATGCTTACTGCTTTTTAAGGGACGTAGGATTTTGAATCTGAGGCTCATTTCATCTTACACTGAAAGATTAAAATGCCTTAAAATGTAACATTATGCAGAATTGTGATTTTTTTAAAAAAGTCTTAATTTGGAATCTTTTCATTTTATTTTGGTTAGTTGGGTTTCCGACATATGTAGAAACCTAACACCAAGCTAATACCCTGCCGTGCTAGTATCCTGCCAACTTGTATCGCAACCAGACTGAGAGTTGCACATATGTGTGCGCCTACACATGGAAATTTCTCTGTATCTGGAATGGGATGTACACACTCTCCCCAGGGAGATGCACCGTGCTTACCTAATTCCAGAAATGATATGGGGCAGGTTGTAACGAACCTTTCAAGCCAAAACCGAGCATTGCCTGGCAAGCTTTCCATTGCTTGGTCAGCAAGGACCACCTGACTCATTATCATGTCACCTTGGAGCCAGCTCAACTCCAAAGAAACTTTGCTCACCCTCTCCCCCCCCACCCCATTTCATGCACTGTGGAAAACTGATTTGTAGTACCCTTTCCTCCGAGTCAGAAATTTGTGGATTTAAGCCCCACATCATGATTTTGAGTTCATAGTCTAGGTTGACAATGCTGCCAAATTGTCATAGATGTCATTCTTTAGATGATACGTTAAATCGAAGTCCCGTCTGCCTGTTCAGGTGGATGTTAAAGACCCTAATGCTCTAATGAAAAAGTGAAGGGAGTTTCTTCTGGTATCCAGACCAACAATTCCCCAAATAAAATTACTCATTGATGATTGTTTGTACAACATTGCTTTACGGATGTAGGCTGTGATGTTTGCCTCCAAGTATACAGTCATTACACTATAGGAAACTCTGTGAAGTGCTTTGCGACGTTTCAAAAATTATTATTAAATAAGGACAAGATACTGCTTTCAACGTTTGCATTGGGTTCCTTTATTTTCTTACCAGCTGTGATGTTTTTAGCTGAAAATTCCTCAGTTTTGGCCGGTCACTCCAGGCAATGGATACTCTTGAACATGGTGATGGGTTTCCATGTGTCTCAGACACCTGGGTCATCAAAAAAAATCACCCACACAGCACTCATTGTTCTTTGTGAATGCTCTTAGTTGGGTTGAAATTCCAGTCAGGTTAGCGAGCAGGGGCATTGGCAATGTCGGACACTAATGGAATTTTCTCCTCAGAATTGCATGTCGCCACAGGCGCTACACGGAACAACAGCCGGAATTTCAGCCCAAATGTGTTTTACCGTACTATTCCCATCAGGCGGTTTGTGGAATGTCCGCCCCACAGTTTAATAGGGGTTTCAGAAACGTGTGACTGGGCAGCTCACCTGGGGAACATGTTTTTGCAGCAGGACATATTTAATAACTAGGAATAAAATATCAACACAATCTCTTTTGGCCAGCGAATAGGCCAGCAACTAAGAGCTTGTGTTTACACCTCTGCTCCTGTTTAAATCTGTGTGTACGCAGCTGAAGTGCGGGGGAAGGAATGGCATGTTAACTAAAACCTGTTGCTTGTAATATTACTGGAGGTGGCGAGCTACCCTCCAATAATTGATTGTGGTTCTGTGGAGTACTGTGTCCCATTCTGCTCACCACACTACACGAAGGATAAAGCAGCGATGGAAAGAGTACAACATAGGTTTACCCAGATGATACCAGGGTGACAGGTGACTGCTATCAGGCTGGACTGGATAGTTTAGGCCTTTTGCACTAGAGAAAAGATGTTCAAGAGGTACCTAATAGGGCAGTTTGAATTATAAAAGGACCCACTAAGGTTAGCATAGATTATCTGTCTGCATTGGTTGGGGAATCTGTACCAGTGGACACAAGTATAATATTAGTGACTAGGGGATTTAAAGAAGATTTTAGGAGGAACTTCTTCACGCAGAGGGTGTGAATGTGGAACTCACTGCCTGAAGCAGTGGTTGAAACAGCTAGTATAGATTCATTCAAGTGGAAGATACAATTATATAACATGAAGGGAGTAGAAGGATAGGCGAGCGAGTAAG